GCTCTAGCTCCTGTGCCAGATTCAGCACATCGTTTTGGCGACTTTCAGCAAAAGAGTCAACAACTACCTCGGCATGTCATTGAATGCCCCTGTAGCCCTCCTACAACAAACCACATATATACATATAAACCCAAACATCAAATTGCAAGCAGATGATCACCAGTGTCTGCCTCTGCTTGCTTAACTGGCACCAACTGCTGGTGCCATCAGCAGGGAAGTGGCTCCATTCACTTGGCTAGCTCTCTTCACTTGGCAACCAAGCACACAAAAAAAGAACGTGTAGTGTCTGTAGTGTAGTCATTCACTGTTGCAGGAGGATTGTCTAGTTCACTACAAAATCCAGCAGCATCAGGCACACATTCTTGCAAGCAAGGCATCTGAAGGGCAGCTGCCACAACGAGCATTGCAACAAGAACAACAAGAAGTAACCGTCCGTGAACCCATTGAGTACGGGGGGCCATTCATTCCCACCATCCTGCACAGTCCTGCAAGCATAAGCAACATGAACCGTTTTCAACATCAAAGCTACAGTACTGCTCTTGCACTTGTCGTGAACGTGAAACAAACGAAGCCTTCCAGACGGACCTCGGGGATACCCTGGATGTTTCGCGCGTGAACCCATTGCAGTGAAAGTGTTCTTTTTTCGGGCTGCAAAGGCACAAGCTGTCCAAAACTGTCCAAGTTACTGCAATCAGCAGGTTCAAGACCCCGAAAACCGTCGTCATGAGCGACCCGCAGAAGATGATGGCCGTCGCCGGGCTGTGCTCGATCACTGGTACGGCAATGTGTCCCCAGCTGTCGCCAGCAATCACTGTCTTGAACAGCAACAGGTTTGCTGCCTCAAGGTGTCTTGTATAGAGGCATCAAGAGCACTCCTTTTCTTGATGAACCATGATGAAACTAGCGATTTCAACAAGTGATCCATGGTCATCTCAATAGAACGCCTCTAAGATCGTCCACTAAGGACAGCTTTCAATTTCCTACAGGTTCTGGAGAGAAAAAACACACACACTCGGATGGAGAGCTTAAACATGCCTCAGACTCCACCACATGGAGTACGTGGACATGGAACTGGACGGAAAGAGTGGAGTGAGTGGACCAATCATGAGCATCTTGCTTCCAAACGTCCAAACAAGCATTTTCGCACTGCATTTATTCTACCCGGGCGACATGCACAGAAGGGTCTGCGGCTGCAGTTTGACAAACAGTGTTTTCTAGCTGCTAGCTATACATGATGTATACATATACATACTGTATATATATATATATAGTAAAATGACAAAGAACATGTTTGAGAAATCAACATGTGGAGACCATTGGATTCTCCAAGCGTCCATGATTGAAGAAGTTGACCTGATGCATTCTGGACAGTCAAGTACCGCCTCCTGCTGCATCTGGACCACCAAAGGATGGACGAATTCCACCATCAACATCGCCTTGGATCCGGGGAACAGACTCACCAGGACCACCAGGACTCCGATTTTGAGATGTTTTCCGAGCAGATCGGAAAGGAAAATGAAAGTATAAAGCAAAAACAAGACTGGCTGAATTCGGACGGAAGTGGCCCAGAAGGTCATGAAGGCAAAGCAAAATATAAACGACCAACCTGACAGGGCTGCAGCGACCCTAGGATGAGGAGAAGAGATAAGAAACCCACATGGCTGACGGGGACTTCACAAGAGTCAGTGGTCTGACGCTCGGTCACTGTGGCGCTCAGGGCGGTCCGACCGAGGACTTCCGCGAGTGCTTCGGTCGAGTGTCTGACACATCCTGTACTTTTACAAGCAAGGCAACGTGAACCACAGCGAACCCTTTTCAAATATCTCCATGACTGGTCACTATACACCAAGGATCTTGCTTTTGCCGCTTTGTCTCGTGTAGTTTCTCTATCTCTCAACTATTGACCTTCTCCAAAAGCGCCCCGTGGTCCCTGCCGGCCTAGAGTCTTCATGCAGGTGGCCATCATAGAGACCAACTTCCGTAACTCCTTCAAGGACCGCGTCCGTTGCAAAATCCGTGCCACGCGCATCACCCGAATCACGCCTGAGCCGGCGACAGGAGAAGTAGGCTGAACATGGCTGAACTGAACCCGATCGGAAGCCCTTACGGATGGTTTAAGCGCATTGCTTCCCGATGAATGGAGGATATGATGGTTTCCCTCCGGTCTCAATCCCGGTTTCGGCCCGAATTGCACTTCAGTGGCTATGTTTTGTTACATTAATGTGACTAATCTCCGTGCCGTGGGATCGATCGGATAAACCCTCAAAACATCGAGGGTAGCGGACCAATCTGACCTCTCTCCCATACACCGAAACGACCTACGCCGTGAAGAAACACTGGCCCGATGCAAAACGAAAACTCGTTCGCTTCCATGCACCCGCGCCAATATGACTGCAACACTAAACATATTATTTCAAACTTTCCCCTCTATAGAGGGCCCTTTCTGTTTTCAAGTCAGTATACTGCTCGATCTATGTTGTTCTCAATGTTGTAGTTGATGTTGCAGTCTCATGTAAACTTTAATGTTGTCACTAACGTTCTGAAGATGGGATTGGTTTGGCATGATTGTCCGCTGCTTTTCCCTTTGGCAGTGGCACAGGCTTCCAGTTCTTCAGGCATGAAATTGTGTTGATTATATACTACTATGATATGATAAAATATGATATGATATTATATATTGTGATATACTGTGTATACTGATGATATACTGCCACTGATGCTGATGCTGATGCTTTGTAAAACTAGACTGGACAAGTACCTCTTAAGTAGCAGTGGCCCTTCAGGTGTGCAGCATGGTGTACAGATTGCAATTCTAAGACCTAAGACTGACCTGCCCACAAGTGCGCTCTGGCCATGGACGGCCTGGAACAACAACCTGTTTCAAAGTGAAGAAAGAGTAGTTCCTTGGTTCAAGTGAGATGAAAGGAAGTGGTGAGAGCAACAGTCAAGAACCAGTAACCCAGAGGTCAAATTTTATTATTATTGTAGAACTGGAGTACTGTAGAACTACTGTACTACTGTAGAACTACTGTACTACTATTGATCTAACAAATTGTAAAAAGGTATATAGTCGGGATTCTTTTGGCAGCGGGTATTGTGGCGCAGTTGCCTTTGAAGCAGGAAACCAAGAATCAACCGAATGCACGAAGTGTGGACTCCAAAGGGACGTTGTTTCGGGCCAGTGCGCGGTAACTGTTACTGCTCATAGTAATTCTCTCCGTGTAGCGTGTGTCCACGGGCCTTCGATACACTGGTCTGCACAACCGGGCTGAACGGCTATGCCGTTATGCCATGCTTCATGAAGCGTGGACTTCTCACCAACCAACAAGAAACATTCATTAAAGAAAATCGTGACAAGAGGTCTCACACCTATAAAGTCTTCGACATGAACCAGCCAAAACAGCATCATGTCTGGGAAAAGTAACCTCAATCTTGACAAGTCGGCTCTGATCAAGGTCTTTTCCTTCCCCTTTTCCTGCAAATCCAGGGCGCGCACCAGCCGTAGCTCCCTCACAAAACCCCAGCTCGATCCTCCGAAAGACTCAAAGATCTGGAAACAAAACACCATGTAGCCTGATCTGTTGGAGCAGATTCGGCGCGAGGTGTGGATACGCATGGAAGTGGATGGAACGTCACATTTTTGGTGGCAGTTTCTATTTCACCGAACCTAGGGCTTAAAAAACAGCATTCTAAGCATTATTGTGTATGTGACATTCAGCATTGCTTGTACACTGTTTAGCACGTTTGTTGATTGACATGATGTTTAGTGGGGTTCTGTCTGTTTATTGCACTACATGTATCATCATGTATCAGGTTCGAAGCCAACTTAGCACCTAGTGCAAATCATTATATTACATTGTAACTTAAGCATCATGATATGTAGATTTTCCGTAATTATCTTTCTATGTAGGGAAGAATGATAGTTACGGACAGGTTTCAGCCAACGCATGTCTTTGAAGTGCACGACAGTCCGACTCGCCAACATCGAAGTGGAATCCACCCTGTTTTGAAAAGGAATATCCTCATCCAAGGGTCCATTTCCCACTTCCATGTTAGTGAGTCGGAGGATAGTTGTTGTGAAATTGAGCGAGCAACACACATCCCCTAAGAGATTCTGAGAGTCATGAAGATATAATGCTGGCATTGCGAACTTGCTGACCAAAAGCATCATTGTCATTAAACAATGAGAACGTGCGGTTGAACATGTCAGCAAGATTAAGCAAGTATTCCACGACATTGCGGCAAGGAACAGCGCGCATCTTGCGAGTAGTGTTGCAAAACTAACACACACACATATATATATATATAAAGAATAAGCAGCACCTGTTTTCTTATTCGCTCTGCAGCAGGTTTGTCAGAAAATAAAAAGAATTGGGAACCAAAAAGAAACTCCCGAAAATCGATTCGATTGTCCCCCCCCCTTCCTGGTTCACAACACACGGAAAGCGGCGTTCCCGGGCAATCGTCCCCCCCCCGGCCAGGTGGACCACACCACAAACCCTGGCCGGGTCCTAAGGGACACCAGCATTGTTTCTTTTTCACCTCGCTGCTGGTTTTTTTGAAAAGCTTGGAATTCTTTCTCTTCCTTCCAAGTCCCCCCAGGCCTCGTTTGGACGAGGACGGCCTGTTGCTTTGCAACGGCTCAAGTGTTTCAAATTCCCTGGGGTTTGAATTCTGAAAAAAAGATTCCGTAAGGTGCCAAAGTCTTCTCTAAAGGTCCCAACTTCATTTCGGCCAAAATGGCCCTGGATTCGTTCAGGTACAAACGCGCTGTCTTTTGGGCCTGCCACCTGCCCAAAATCATGACTCTGTCGAGGTTACCGTGTTGACAAAACCACCATGTGGCGCCTCCTCACCGTAGCGAGAAAGGTCTGAGCTCCAAAGGCTCCAACTGAAGGCTGTTGATACACAATTTAAACAATTTTCTCCACCGTGGGGGAGAAGGACACAGCTTCTGTTGCAGTGAGGCAAGGTGTGTCCAGTGCTGTACATAGCGGAAGACGGTCATGTCCCAAGGAAACACTCTCTTGGGTTCCTGCTCTCTTCCCAGCTTTCGTGAGACCTAGTGCTATCACTGCTGTGCGGAGTTTGGCGGAAATTTCAACA